AAACTGATATTGTAGCAATATCGCCGAATGTTCACATTTTTTTCTCGCCAATATTACTTTCACAATATTTTGCCGATATTTTCGTAATATTGCACCGATATTGTCCCAATATATGTGTGCTATACTTGGAATATACGAAACTGTATAACCTTCAGAAGAATTCTGAATTTGATAGGCGCCAGCATAGTTCCCTTTTCACTGTAATCAAATCCATCATTTCAAAAAAATCATATAACTGTGAAACAACACTTATATCCCAATGAGCACAGTGAAGATGAAAAACGTTGTTAAATGGTTTGAAACCGAACGTTTATAAGGGGTATTTCTCAAACGTTGATTCAACGAAAAAATGTCGCACGATAAAACGTTTCTTTCAACCAAATCACCTACTAGAAATTAACGTATTTTGAGAACGTTTTTTCAACTTGAGTATCAACGTGACAAACGTAATGTTTCGAAGTTTCATGAGAATTGTCGATAATGAAGGTTCATTCAACGTGTAATTGACATTCAAGAATGACGATTCGAACAAGTTGATAATAGTTATTTATGTATTAAGGGAATTATGAGGGGCAAAGTTTGCGTCCCGAGGGCCCCTGGCCCGAGGGACAGCAATTGCCTGAGGTTATTGAGGCTCAGTAATTCCCGTGATACATAGATAATTTTATTTCTGACTGATTTCAATCATTAGATACCTTCCCGATTGGAAGTTAGACATGTTTTTCCGTATAGTTTCAATGTCATCAGAACGTCAGATGATGATCTTGACTACCGCGAATAGGAGATTCCTTATTGCTATGTTACTGCATGGTTGTTGCTATGCATTTCTTATTTAATTTTAGTTAGAGGGAATTATAGCATCTATAACATCCCAAGGGAGTTATGACCCTCATAATAGATATCGTAACTATGACGATATAAGCTTACATTGTCACTGTCAGAAATAAAATAAGATTTTCCAACGTTCACTTCGGTTCAATTTTGAGTCGTAGAATTTCCGGTTTCAGATTACTTTTCGTTATTTCTGTGTCCACATTGAATTTATCATCATTTTTATAATTATTGCAATTATTTTCATTATAACTCACTATCCTGATATGTGTCTATGTATTTCATTTCCGTTCCACTTCCTTCTTGTATTAAATTCATTTATTCATCTTCAAAGTATTCACATTACAACACATATTTCTATCACATATATATATATATATACATGGTTTCAGCATAACTGTGTGTATGCCTGAACGTCCCTCCACTGACGCAGAGGTGGCTAGTAATATGGAAGGATATGTGAGGTGTTCGTTGCAGTGACCTATCTCGTTGGGCTAGGCCATTTAGAGATTGTAGATTGTAGATGGGTCGTATAGGCTGGGAGACCTCTCGATCACTGCGACCTAGAAGATCTATTGTGATTACCCCAATCTAGTTTTGGTCCTCTAACCCTAGACTTCTGATGAAGCCTACGATTTTCCTGACGGTTGACTTTTCCACTTCAGCAGGGGAGAAATAGACCTGTTCTAGGTGGTTCAGCCTTTGGCGGACTAATATTTCACATGAGCGAAGTATGTGTTTCGCGGTTTCGGTCGCATTGTTACAAAAGCGGCAAGTGTCAGTCTCCGCCAGACCCATCTTTTTGAGGTGGTACCTCAGAGGGCCGTGTCCTGTGAGAAAGCCTGTGATAAGCTTTAGCTCTGGTTTGCTGAGCCTGAGTAGCTCTTTGACTCGGTTCTGCGAATGGTTGATGAACCTTTTACCTTTTCGCTTGTCGTTGACCTGGAGTTGCTCTCCAGTAGGAGGACTTCTCAATTTCTTCTCATTTCCCGAGTTCTCCCTTTAGGTGACATTTGCTTATCCCACAAAAAGGCTCAGGACTAAAAAGTGCAGATGCTGCACCTTTTTTCGCAAGGCGATCAGCTGTCTCATTTCTTTCGATTCCTTCATGCCCTGGAACCCACATAATGTGACTTTGTTGCCCTTTCCCAGTTGCATGAGTGTTTCAAAGCAGTCCCATGTAATCTTTGATGTGGAAACGAATGATTTTAGGGCTTTTAGTGCGGCTTGGCTGTCTGAGCAGATATATATGTTGGCACCCCTCAGACCTTTGCTCAGGCATCTTTGGGTGCAAACGTTGATGGCATCTATTTCAGCTTGGAAGATAGTGGGGGAGTGACCTAAGGCTTCAGATAGCCTACATCCGGGTCCATATACACACGCGCCTACCCCTTCTTCCATTTTCGAACCATTGGTGTACCAAACAAGAGACCCTCTGTCCAGCTGAGGCTCAGCGGAACCGTACCTAGGGCGGCTTTTTATAACCACTTCGAAGGTATGATCGAAACTGAGCCTGGCTGGCATTATGTCCGATGGTTTGGTTGCAGATTCCATTTGTACTTCTTGTAGAATGACCATGTGACTAGTGACATCACCTGGCCTGGCCAATTCAGTGGAGTTCAGTCTGTATGCACTGAGAGCTGCAGTCCTCTTGATACTAGGCCTTTTATACAGGTAATCTTGTTGGTGGTACCCATAGGGTGGGGGAGCTGCTCGTGCGCGATCAGAGTGGAAAGGGTTGCTTAGACGTTAAAGAAAAAATAAAATGATACAAATAAAACACCTCCTTCTTGTTTGTCTCGTGCAGTTGTGCGCATGTGTTCCCACATGGGCACTTCTGCCCGAGTTCAGTGTCTTTTATGACACTTTGTTATTTCCGGGAGTTCCTTCTTAGTGACGTACCTATCTTCACGTATCCATATTCAAATTTGTTCGACTATTCGTATTTGAACCTGAATTCTTGGTGTGAGCGTCGGCGAGATGTAAACGGAAATAATACACGTTGTCTACTGACGATTATCTTACGTTGTTGGAAAACATATAATACACGTTTTTTTTCTACCCACAGTTATCGAATACTTTTAAAAAAACGCTCAAGTGATTATATTATTTCAAGAGTTCAATAAACGTTTTGAATAAACGTTAGTTGGCCGGATCGATGAAAAGTAGTTTTGTATTCATGTAATACACATGTTCTCAAATCACGGATGATATAAGATATAGTTTGACGAAATCTTATATTACACGTTGACGAATAACAGTTGAAATAGTTATTTATTATACAAGGGAAAAAAGTAGTAGATTTCAGCTCCAGGTTGTGTTGTCGCGTAGCGGAGGGAGACAAAAAACCGTGAGCTAAAATCTAATATTTTTCCCGTGTATAATACACTATTTTTTTCTGTGACAGAAGAAAGGACGAATCAATATTGAGAAGATATTACATTATTTCGAAATCTGAAAATTAGCGACGTGAAATTTCAAGTTTTTAACAGTAGGAACACCTGCGTTTTATAGACATCTTTATCATTCTTTTGAAGTAATCAAATATCTGATGTCACTTTTGTCAGTTCAATTCTGTAATTTGATTTTAAAAAATTGCGAATTCTGTAGTTGTTTAGTAATATACGAAACCGCGAAGTCGAATGGAAGATAAAAGGACTTGCAGTTCTTTCTCGGAGACGGTATTATTGACTCATTTTTCGGAACTATAGCACAACAAAAGCCATTAACAGAGTATATATATGTGATATATATCCGGGAAAGAAGTACTCACTTTTTTCTCACGGGAAAAAAGTAATTTATGAAAAGTGACATTTTATAACCTGCCAACAGAGATGAAATGCCAAACTTTTTTCCCGTCACAGAAAAAAACGTTTTATTCATGTTCTTCTTCCACTCTCGGTCAGAAAATGTTGACAGATTTGCGTTACAGAAATGTTTATTTCGAACGTCTGACTAACTTTTCGGAGGAACATTTTATAACTGCATAACTTCAACAGATCGTCAGGACATATAGTTTTCGATACGTTTATAAACGTTCAGATTCAACTTCAAATGCTTCAAAACCATATTACAACGTTGAATTTTCCAACCATAAACGTCTAATTTGTTCTACGTTGATAATACATTGAAAAAACGCACGTGTGCCCATCTGGGTTAGTTCTAAGAGTTCATTAAACGTTACCAAACAAATGTAAAAACTTCACAAACGATAAAATTTCCACAAAATTTATTTAACACACGACATGTTTCGCTAACACAGTAGCTTCGTCAGGTGACATACAGTATATCACCATACTTGGAAGGTTTGCTTGGGATATACTGTCTAAATGAACATCTACCATGAAATGCCACCAACTGCTTATCGATTATAAGATACCTACTTGGAAAATAAACCTGTTTGCAGTTGATAACGACGGCGTCAAATATTTTCCTCAATGGTGCTAGTTTATCCAGTGCCACTCTCTGCTGTCTAGTATCACTATCGTCAAAACGTAAGCAACACAGAAGAAAATTGAATCGTTGGAATGTCATCGTTTTTCTGAATATTTGAACACCAGTATCGTCAATTGCCCATAAATCTTTGACATTTTGGCGTCCAGATTTGTAATAGCCTGCTAAATTTAGAAGACCAAATAATGCTTTCAGTTCCACTATATCTGTTTCTTTCACTTTATATTGATTTTCATCTCCGTAATTAGCTGAAGATGATCGAATTTTCTGATTAGTGTGAACAACAATTTCGTTCATCATTTCTTCGGTGACGAAATACCTCCAGCATTCTGATGCTGTTTTTTCCATCCATATACGGTCTTCTGACTGTGAGGAATTGCGTAATAATATTTTCTGCCCTCGTCCTAACATTCGGCCGAGGTGGATGTTTGAACCATGTTGTTGTCCCATCATTCCCTTTGTAGAATGAACGTAAAATATTGAAATCCTCATCTTCCCTATTATTTTCACTATCACTTATTTCTTGCTCAGTTTCGCTGCTATATGATCACCTTGATTCAAATTGTCTATTTCCCCTTCATCACTCGATACATCATCTCCAATGTCTGACACCTTCTCCTGTGAGGCACAAAGTCTAGCTTGTTCTCTCTCAAAATCACCCATTTTGAGATCGATGGAGGTACCTGTCGTAATAAATTCACTGATGAGTTCACTGAATGAACTATATTTTGCCTTTGAAATTCGTTGAAAAATATGTTGAAGATGTTAAGCGACAGAAAGAGAGAGAGAAATTGGCGAGAGCAGCTAAGAGAAAACTTGAAGCAACTGATGAATCAGATGAGGAATGTACCCAAATAAACCATAAGCAAGATGACGATGCTGAAGAGTTTGCATGCTTGTACTGTAACGAGCTCTACTCTTGGTCGAAATCCAAAGAGCTGTGGCTTAAATGTCAGCTATGTAGTTTGTGGGCCCATGCTGCTTGTGCAGATAAAAGTGAAAAAACCAAACATTTCATTTGCCTTTGCGAAGATGACTGATTTCACTTATGTTACCTGTTCAGTTTTTTAGGGTGCCATCATTGAAAGTTGTTTGTTATGATGGCACCCTCGACAATAAATAAATAAAATACAATAAATAAGTGAACATGTGTTTCCATGCAATTATGAATCCACATATATCAACAATGATAATCTTGCTATGTCTTGTGAATTTTATCCAAATTCAATGTATTTTCGACCCTGAAAATAAATAATGAAAAGAAGGGTGCCATCATATCCACACCTCCCCTGAGTAGGAATGATGTGTAGCGTAATTGTGCTGATCTATTGGCAGCCAGTTTGTTTTGAATGCGGTATACATATGTGCATACATCACAATTCATCTATAAATGAGGATGTGAACATCATGTGATTTAAGTGTTGTAATCAGATTGATATAATTATCAATATATGTATAGAAATACAAGTCGAGTTCTTTTGATATATTACAAGACTAATCTTATTTTTATATCCATAGAAACTAGTTCATTCATATACACTATGAGTATTGATCTAAATATACAATGTGATTATTCTATAATACATATTTCCTCCCCCCAAATAATTATCACTCCTGTGATAAAATGGTCTGATGTTCGATATATGGGCAGTTTCTTCTTTTGAATCATTCAAAAATCGAACATACACAGGAATACTATCCATATATTTTACTTTAGTAATCTTGAATGGCCCTTTAATCGAAAAATTCTTTTCAATTTCATTATTCCTCGTTAGAATCCAATCTCCAATTTTAAGGTTTGATGCATGGTCTATTCGCTTGGTCCTGTAATTTTTTTTATTAACACACTGCTCCTCGAAAGTTTTGGGATTTTCGGTTACAGAAAATACTATTCCCAACCTTTTATCAGCATTCAAAATCGTACTTTTTCCATACAGTTTAAAATTAGGTGAACAGCCAAGAAATTCATTGTGGGAGTAAATATGATGACGAACTGCAGCCTCCAAGCATCTCTTCCAGCCGCCTTGGAAGTGTTCATAACAATTCATGAGTGATTTCAAGTTCCTCACAGCTCTTTCAGCTGAACCATTACCTGCTGGATGATATGGGGAAGTGTGGATTACATTGATATTTCGCAAAGAAGCCCATTCATGAAACAGTTCTGATGTGAAAGCTGAGCCACAATCAGTCACGACATTGTCAACTTCATCTATGAATGGTAATTGATCTAAGTAATTCTTCACAGCTACACTACTTTTTTTCGAAGATTTTGTAGAAATGTGTCTGGTTGCCTCATCAATAACAACGATGAATGATTTTGTTGTTCGGTTCAATTCAGATTTCTTTGATAATTCAGCAAATTCAATGTGAATAGTCTCATGGGAATTTTGTGAGTGACGAGTATAATGAACAAAATCAGGTTTTGGCAAAAATTCGAACTTGACGTGTTGGCAAACATGGTTTTATGTAATATTTTATGTCCTTGCTCATTCCTTCTCAATAAAATCTTCTATTTACTTTGTAATAGGTTTTTAAATAACCATCATGCCCTCCAGAATCAGGATCGTCGTGATATGATACCAAAATTTCTTTTCTCATTTCATTTGTCCTCACCAAATATCTTCCATCAGTCATTTTTGCCAAATCCTCAACATTCAAATTACACCAAAATGTATCTGAAACAGTTTCAGGTACTCTGATGCAAATCCTAGAAATGGCATCAGCATCCTGCAACCCTTTTCCAGATTTGTGATGAATATCCATGTCGAAACATCTGAGAAAAATTTGCCACCTAGCTAAACGATCTCGTAGATCTCTAGTGGTTAGAACATATTTCAGTGCTCGATGATCAGTGTTTACAATAAAATGTTTTCCTTCTAAATAGGTTCGAGAACACTTGACAGCTTTCACTACAGCTAGGCATTCTTTTTTCGTCACTGAATAATTTTGCTCACTCTTTGTGAATGTGTATGAATATAGTAACATATAACTCTCAATTATTGTCGATTTTTCACTTCTTCACTGTCCCTTTGATACAGAATAGCTCCACAACCACAGTATGAAGCATCGGTTGTTAGTTCAAATTTTAATCTGGGATCTGCAATTCCTAAAATTGGATCAGATGTGATCAGATCAATCAGGGTAATAATAGTTATTTTTGTATTGAGGGAATTATGAGGGCCTTAATTACCGATGGCAAAGTTTGCGTCCCGAGGGCCTCTGGCCCGAGGGACAGCAATTGCCAGAGGTTATTAAGGCTCTATAATTCCCGTGATACATAGATAATTTTATTTCTGACTGATTTCATTCATTAGATACCTTCCCGATTGGAAGTTAGACATGTTTTTCCGTGAAGTTTCAATGTCATCAGAACGTCAGATGATGATCTTTACTACCGCGAATAGGAGATTCCTTATTGCTACGTTATTGCGTGGTTGTTGCTATGCATTTCTCATTTAATTTTAGCTAGAGGGAATTATAGCATCTATAACATCTCAAGGGATTTATGACCTTCATTATAGATATCGTAACTATGACGATATAAGCTTATAATGTCACTGTCAGGAATAAAAGAATTTTCACAATCAGTAGTCCAGATGAATTTTTTGTTTTTACGTTTCAATTCATTCAAAGGTCGAACAATCTTACCATACTCTTATAAAACATCTGAACTGATTTGTGAGACCAGTGAAACATTGCAAAGATTTCAGATCATTAGGTCCCCTCATCGATTTAACTTTTTCTACTATTTCATTCTTCATTCTTTTTCACCGTCTATCTCACGACCAAGAAAAACTACTTTTTCCACAAAATTTACATTTTTTCAGATTAATCTTCATATTACTATCGTGCAACTTTTTCAATATGGGAACACCCAAAACGTCAGAATATAATGCATCAAAATATAATTTATAAGAATATATTTCATCAGAATGGTAATTCGTAGGTACCGTAATTGATAGTTACTGTATTCTGTAAGCACGTTTTTCATCGCTTTGTAAAACATAGCTCTGTAATTTGTAGGTATGTATTATAACAAAACGTGATTCGTCAAAATGTAATCCATCAAAATGGTATTCGATAAGAACCGTATTTGATCATAACAGTAATTCATCAGAACAGTATTTCATCATCACGGTAATTTATCATAATCTAATTCTATCGTTAGGGTATTCTATCAGAACCGTAATTCGTCGCTTCAGTAAAACATCAGAATCGTAATTCATCAAAAGCGTATCGTATAGGAACTGTATTCCATCGTCACATCAATTCATCGGCACTGTATTTTATAGTTTCAGTAATTCATCGGAACCGTATTCCATCGGAACTGTATTCTATCAGAAACATATTTCATCAAAACTGTATTTCATCAGAACCGTATTCCATCATCACCGTATTTCGTCAGAACCGTATTTCGTCAGAACCGTATTTCGTCAGAACCGTATCTCGTCAGTTCCGTATTTCGTCAAAACCGTATTCTATCAGAATCGTATTCTATCAGAATCGTATTTCATCAGTACAGCATTCTGTAAATACACTAAATATCCAATTATTACAGATAACTTCATCACAGTTAGATGCACAGAATATTTGTGTTAGTACCGCCGAATGCATATAGATGCTGTTCAGGGTTTGTTTGTGATGATTTTCGATTGTTTGATAAATCAAACTACTGATTGAAACAAACGCAAGCACATTTTTTACTAAATGGAACATTGAATGTCTTCGCGATAATTCAACATATTCTGCTGCCGTGTTTTCATTCTGAAAATGAATATTTCACTATTATAAGTCTAGAAAATATCGAAGAATTCCCCATGCTTCCCATTTGACGAAAAATGTTTGGGAAGTTTTCCAGTCATATTCCTATAACGCTAAAGAATATACAGGGTGATTCAGGTTTTAAGGCACAAACTGAAATGGGAGATAGATCTCATTATATTAATCACAAAAGTTCATACAAACATAAGTCCGATCTCGTTCAGTGGCGGAGCTACAGTGGGTCAAAGTTTAATTATTTTTTTTATCAATTGAACTATCTCGCTTACTTTTCAAGATATCATTTTGAAATTTGATGTAGCCAATACTTCCTAGAAGATCATCATTTCAAGCATTTTGAAGATTTTCAAAATCTACAGGGTGATACGTTTTTGGAGGTAGAGGCTTTTTATCCCCTCCAAACTTCTTCGTAGTACGCCTCTGGCATCTTTCAGTGATCAAATTGTGTAGATCGTTCAATTTAGAGGCTTTTTTTGATCTTTAATTTTTTCCGATAAACGAACCGTTTTTGAGATAAATATGCATAAACGTTCTAAAACATGTTAGATTCATAAATAAAAAAAAAACAGATATGTGTATTGATAGTTTACCCAACTTCAGGATGATACGGTTTGAAAATTTTTCAAAATAGTAGAATTTTTTTACGGCAACTTCAGAGAACTGAAAAAAAAATGACTTTATTCCCTCCGTTTCCTCGTTACTGATCCAGATTGGACTCGTGATTTCAATTCTAGTGAGTACATTTCATTGCATTCTCAACGAATTTTGTCAAAGAATAAAATATTTAAGCGAAACATAGGCAAAATTAAAATATGAACCATTTCATGTAGTCAGGACTCGTCCCATAATATCACTGCGTTCGAAGAATTTTCTATCAGAGAGCCTAAGAGAAAAATTCATTCGGTTGTCAGTGCCACTCAGTTTTGAAAATGGTTGAAGAAGAGTAATATTCAAAAAATATGGAACCACATTACTTGAAAATTTATACTCTGATATTTCGGTAACGAATCTGATCCCATAAAGAATGGAAAAAGTAATTCTTTCAAATTGTCTTGAGAAGTGCCATACTGAGAAGGCATGTTGCTGATGATTTTTATCTATAGAAATGAAGAGAGAGAGATATAAAAAAATCTGGGAAATGATTTTACCTTCCATAGCTTCAATTTATCGCTTCAGCAAATTGTATCATCCTGATTATCGAATGTACAAGATTGCCTTCATGAGGAGTAAGGCGAGGAATACATTTTTCAGAACTGAAACT